AAGGAGCTGGAAACAACCTAAGTGCCCATCAACAAATGAATGGCTAGAGAAGCTGTGGTATATTCGCACAATGGAATACTATGCTGTATTGAAAAACAAGGAACTCATCCAATATTATTCAAAATAGTTGACTCTGGAGAACATTATGCTGAGTGAAATATCCCAGTCAAAAAAGGACAAATATTGCATGATGCCACTGCTGTAGAATGGGACTAACCTCGGGGTTGGGGAGAGACTGAGTAAGATGGGTTCAATAATGTATACTGCACTGAAACAGAGGAGGGAGAAAACTGTTTAAAAGAGATATGTGACTAGGTATTTCTGTCATCACAGGAGTCTAGAGCGATGGCTACATGGTGGAGGGGACCTGGGGGAGGGTTTGTAAAACAATGAAAGAATCTTTTCTTTTACTTTTCCATAATTTTTTACTCATGTACTTATAACTTGTTAGTTAAATTTGTCTTCTAGGTTGCAACACCCCCATCTTCAAGGATATGAACATGTACGGCTAAGCACAATTAATAACAGTGCATCTAAATTCCAAAATCAATCTCCACAATAGTCTACGTGTTTCCTACTGCCAAAGGGGCCCTTTAGAGTAGTGAGAGAAGATCTTCACCCTGAAACCCACAGCATCCCTTTTCAGCAGGAAGTAGCTAAGAGAATACGCCATCCCCTTTCCCTTATGAATCAGGGTGAAGTCTCTCTCAGGGAGGAGTGATAGGGAATGGCAAAGGACACACTGACAAAGGAGATTAAACAGAACTGGTTTTGACAAGCACTGTGGCAATTGGACAATTAAAACAGACATTTGGAGGGCGGGGGAAGAAGAACAAACTGGGGAAGAGGTTAGAGAGAATGGTACAGCAATGAAGGAATGAAAACCCAAAATCCCTGTAAATGTTCATTAATACTAATAAAATTTAATAATAAAAAAAAGAAAGAAAAAAAATTTATCAATGATAAACCTAATGTTGTATCAGGATATGAGGGAGGTGCAGAGACAAGCTGGAATTCCCTGAGCCAGGTCTCAGGGGTTAAGGGCCAAGGCAGACCTTCAGGGGTTTTCACAATTCTTGCATTGTATTTGCTGACCCTCTCACCTGAGTCAGGCATAAGGCTTTCAATAGAAAGGGCCTAGCTTCATTTGCATAGAATTCTTTGTGATTTGCTCCCTGGTGTTTTTCAATAAAGTCACAGGGAGGCTGAGTTCAGAGCTTCAGTTTTTTGAGCTGTTTGCCCCCTGACTTCACGCTCTCTGTTTCTCCTCCATACTTGGTGTCCTGTCTCTTTTTCTTTTTCCTCATCAGACAACACCCCTCCCTCCCATCCTCCTTCCCCAGTTCACTTTTTTTAATTTATTCATTGTTATATAATTACCTACCTCCCTCCTCTCCCGCCAGTCCTCTTTGCAATGTCCTTCTTATTCTGGGCTGTTGTTGTACATACAAGGCCTAATCATATATTCCTTTTAAACAGCTCTTTCCCTCATCTGTTCCAGTACAGAGTTTATTATCTATCCATTCTTACTCTATTCTCCCAAACCCCCATGTCATACCTGCTTTGTAACAGTGGTACTGTGCAGTATTTGTCGTTTTGTGACTGAGATATTTCACTCCACATAATATCCTGCAGGATCACTATTCTACCAGAGCAACAAACGCCCCAAAAGACTGAGAACTCTTTAGATAAGTTCCTAATAACCAACTATTCTGAAGCTCCGTCTCACGTACTTTGGGCATGTTGCAAGGAGAGGCCAATCCTTGGAGAGGACATCATGCTTGGAAGGGTGGAGGGACAGGGCAAGAGAGAAAGACCTTTGATGGCATGGATTGACTCAGCGACTGGGGTAATGGGGGAAGGTGTGTCAGAGACAACAAGGTTGGCTCAGGACAGAACAGGGTTCAGAGCTGTTGTAGGTAAGGTTGCTATGAGTCACAAGCGACTCGACGGCACATAACAACAACGATAACCAACTTAGCACAGATTTCTGTACTTGCAAACCTTGGTTTGAGTAGGAATTCTTCCCTCCAAGCTTGCAAATACAAAAACTACCTTTCTGTGAGTCAATCTGGTCCAGAGCTTTCACTCACCTGCTGGGGTGGTGTTCTACCTCTGTCATCTCGGGGGCGGTCATCTCTCGTTCAGAAATGGAACAGGAGCACGGGCTCGTTTGACTGCCTGCCTGCCGGGGACAGTACAGCCTCGGGTTCCCTCGCTCACTACTGAGCGGCTCATCATCCTGGCCTCACCAACAAGGCAGGCCATCCCTCCCCAGGGCCCCCAAAGCCGTAGCTGTCGCCAGCATCCACATCCCACCCCTGAGGTTCCCGTCCTTCTGGAGAAGCTTGGCAGAAGCAGGGCACAGATCCTCACACACACCCACACACACACTCTAAAACACCTCCCGTCCTCCATCAGGGCCAGGCTTCTCCCTCACTCACGGAGGAAGGACTGCAGCCTCCACCACCCCCATCCCAACGTGTCTTCTCACGGAGGAAGGACTGCAGCCTCCACCACCCCCACCCCAACGTGTCTTCTCACGGAGGAAAGACTGCAGCCTCCACCACCCTCACCCCAACGTGTCTTCTCATGAAGGAAGGACTGGGGAGCCTCCACCACCCCCACCCCAACGTGTCTTCTCACGGAGGAAGGACTGCAGCCTCCACCACCCCCAACCCAACGTGTCTTCCCACGGAGGAAGGACTGGGAACCATACCAACACGTCTTGAGTGCTCAGGCCACGTCTTGACACTTTGGGACACGGAGCCACCTCAGATGAACCAGTGTGTGACCAGAACCCTCACCTGACAGACTCACACGTGCCGATGGAGGCCTGCACATCCACTGCGAGTTCTCTGTCTCCGGCGCTCTCACCAACCAGACAGGACTAAATGAGTCTCCACAACCCTCAACCTCCAAAGGGTCTCAGAGTGAACCCCAGTCCTGGGAAGACTTTGTTCCCAGCCTTGGCACCTCAAAGGACGTCAACTAGGGTGAGATGGTGGCCCTTGGCTCCAAGTGTCCCAGCCACACTGCCCGCCACATGCAGTGAAAGCTTCCGCTCAGGCTTCAGCACAGCCAAGTTCTGGAGTCCGTGAGCAGGCGGGAGCCAACTGCGGCTTAAATGAGGGCTGTCCCCACCAGGGCGTAGGTCTAGGGGTCACCTGGAGTGCTAAAGCCAGGCCCAGTATGCCAGGGAACAGGAAGGAGCCCTTGGTGGGGGATGGGGAGGACGCCATGGTGCCTAACACCGACAGTGAGTACATAGTGCTTTATTGTTTACACGTTTCTCATCTAATCCTGGAGCAGCCCTGAGGTAGGTATTACTATCCCCATTTTACAGATGAGCAAACTGATATCCCTCGGGTAGGCCACCTGCCAACAATGACAAATTTATTAGTGGCAAAATCACTGGTAACTCCGAAGCCAAGGGCACTCTTGGGCAGTTCCTGGGCTGCCGCCAGGTCGAGGGGAGCTGAGAGCGTCAGCCGGGGAGGCTGGTCTGTTCACCGGAGCCCACGGGGGCACCTCACCGGGAAGGAATGAGGCACATTCACAGGCCAAGGCTGGGCCGAGCAGGAGCTTGGAGCATCTGGGAGAGCGAAGCGGGAAGGTGTCTGGCACTCTGGTTGGCTGCTGCCGGGTTCTTCCGACCCTGTGACCCTGTGGGTGCAGGCAGAGCTCGTCCACAGGCTGTGACCTTCCGGGAGCAGAACATCATGCGGGTTCGCCACAGTCATCCTGGTGTGTTCAGACCACCTTCAGCTCTTGGCCATGCACCGTTTGTGCCTTCTAGAAGCAGGTCTCTCCAGAGATGCACAGGGCTCATCTCCACAGCCCGCAGACACGGGAGGTCCAGCAGCTGCACGTCCAGGGGCCAGCTGCAGGGAGGCGCAGCAGGACCGCCTTGCACACAGCCCAGACGGGACGCAGCCCAGAAGGGACGCACTGACCTCAGGCCAGGGCTCTGACCTCAGGTTGGGGCTTCTCCGACTTTGTTAAGAGTTTTTGTTAGAGGGTCTGACAAAAGCCATAAAACCTCCCCCAGGGGGAAAAAATGCATACAAGTACACACAACATTTTGCATCCGATTTAGGGAGTCCGAGGACCCCAGGTGGAAACGCCCTGCCAGAGGGCGTTACCCTGAGAAAACTGCTGAAGGGACCTGAACCCAGCACGCTCGCTTCCCCGCTGCCCTTTCGTCTTCTGAGAATGTTGACGAAGTTTTTTTCCCCGGGATCTGAGGAATGGGGAGCAGCCCACACCAGCCAGGGGGGCTCGGCTGCGCCGTGGCAGTGGTGAAAGCCAGGAGGCAGAGGGATAGGCAGGGTGACGGGAACGGCTGCCCTCCCCCAGAAGGTCACTTGGGGCCCCTTCCTCCACGCAAACGGAGAGAAGGGCTGTGGGGGTCCCTGGCGAGGGAAAGGCAGGCGGATCCCTCACTGGTTCTGGACGATGGGGTTCCGCAGCCTTCCCCTGTGACCCCCACAAACACAAGCCAGCACTGGCCAGTCGCTCATGCATGTGCGGCCGGGCGGGCAGTGGACACCATGTATGTACACGCGCTCCCTGACGGGAGAGACCGAGGGCAAGAGAGGCCTCGGGGCAGAGGCTCCGTGTGGCACTCAGGGCCCATGCAGATACACTGGGGGCGTCTGCAGAATCCCGTACCTCCACAGCTTCTCCTGGCCAGGGCCCAACCAGAAGCAGAAGCCATGGTATTTTGTGCCTCACCCCCAACACTCATGGGCCCAGGAGAGGGGGCCACAGAGAAAGGGATCGCAGAGGAAGGAGGCAGGGCGGGGAAGGCCCCGTTAGCTGCAGAACGGCTGCCAGGACCTTCCGTGGGGCCCAGGAAAGAGACAGCCGGGCCTGCACCCTGCATGTTAGCCCTTCTAAGCCCAGACAGGGCGCACACGGAAGTCCAAGTGACCGCTCAGACTCAGTGGCCACTCGATCCCAGGGACCACCAAGCCCCAGCGGTCACCTGGCCAGCTCTAGATGGACGTTTCGTCACACGTGGCAAGCGGAGCTCCAGTGAGCCGAACATGGGCTGGGCCGGGGCAAGGATCAAGCAGGAAGGGTGGAGGGAAGCCCCCAAACCCACTGCCCCTCTTGCCCAGGGCCAGGGGCAGCCTCTCGTCCTCAGGAGACGGGGAGGGAGGGTCCTGGCTGTAGCTGGTGGTCCCGGATGGCGGGGCCCCCAGGTCCAAGCCCACCTTGTCCCGTGCCAGCAGTTCCCTCTGTCGCCGTCGCTGCTGCCGCCGGCCGACCAGAAGGAGAGTCAGGGAGGCAGCCAGAAACCCCAGGAAGAAGCCAGCCAGCCCGGCCCCCACGGTGCGGGCCCGGTTCGAGGGGCCCCGGCGGCTCCCCCACACCAGGCTGTACGCGGCCACCACCCGCGCAGCACCCCCCTCCTGGCATTCACAGGCATAGGCACCCACGGCCCTGGGGGTCACCACCACTTCCAGCCCATCGCGCCGTGGGGTGAGGGCGGTCACCCCTCCAGGCTGGTGCCACACGCAGGACGCCCACGCCGAGCTGGGGGTGCACGGCAAGACCACGTGTGCAGCTGTCGCCACGGGAATCTCAAACACCACCGGGTGTTCTGGGGGAGACAGCAGGGGCACAGAACGGGGGGACACGGGTCAACAGCAACAACAGGAGCACAGGACAGGGGGACATGGGTCAACAGCAGTTACACAGAACTAAATGCATCCCAACAATTGAAACCCAATGCAAACCAAAGGTGGTATAAGGCAACATATATGAATGAAACCGCACGTACAAATTCTTATACACAAACCAATTTAAAATAGGTTCAAACTTTGAAAAAAAATTTTAAATTAAAAAGGGGAAAAAAAGTGGGCTCTGGTGGCCTAGTGGCAAGAAGCTGCACTGCAATCCCAGAGGTATGTGGTTCGAATCCACCAGAACCTCTTCTGGAGAAGGAGGGGCAATCTCCTCCCGTAGCAGTCAGATGCGATTTGACAGTACACACACAAAAATTATAAAATTTTTAAAAATAAAATACATTTTTTAAAAAGTTTTTAAAAACAGTAGTGAGAAGGTCAGGCACAGAGGCAAAGAGAGATGGGGGGTGATTCTGAATAGGAGGAGAGGCAGTGGACACAGAGAGAAGACCCCCAGAGAGTCGCCAGAGCCAGGCCTCCCAGAAGGTCTGCAGTGGGTCCCAGACTGAGACCTGCTAACCTTTTCAGCCCACCCAGCCCCATTTCCCTGCACCGTACAGACCTGCGGGCTCCTTGGGGCACAGAGAGGAGACGTCGGCTGACTCCATGCCTTGCACCATCCTGTGAGGAGAACATGGGGTAAGAGCAGGGCCAGCACCCCCACATCCTCAGAGTCGGGACCGTGCACCTGCCAGCACGTGTCCGACCATCTCGTAGGCCGCTCTCACCACGCCCCACGTGCCCGGCACTCAACGTCCCCCCAGCCGAAGCCCCCATGTCTCTGCACTCCCCCTCCTGACGTCGGCCTTGTCCAACCCCACACTGACTCCCAGCGTTGCGTGGCCAACCCAACTGGAAAAGAGGCCTGACGTCAGTGCTGTCAAAACAAGTAAGAGCTGCAGCTGCTCGCCCACAGCCACACGATGTCTACGGGGAAAATATTTAAAAGGTGTTTAACTTCTTCTCTGTTCTTTAAGAAAAAGAAGCCACACTGCCATAAAAGCGAGTAAAAGTTCTGTGGCGGCCGCCCCCTTCTATCATCTTGATCTCCAGGGACACTCCAAGGGACTCCTCACTTCTACGGACCCCCTTCAGCACAGTCTGGGGGAGGCTGTGACGGACGGACAGGCAAGCTGTTTGTGAGGAGCCCCGTGGCATCACCCTTTGCGGTGATGGTGGCGGGGTCCTGCGATGCCTCTGCTTTAAGTGCTCAAGGAAGACGTTCTGGGCATACAAAATCCCTGACCAGAGATGGACGAGCTTGAGGGTGGACCCCTCAGGAAATGAGTTCTGGGGTGGGTATCAGAGGACCAAGATAGACAAGTGCAGCTGAGCTTGGGAAATGCGCGGGGGCTCCGAGGTCTGGGCCTGGCGTCTCTGCCGTGTGTGAGCCGAGGTCTGAAGGGTGCAATCTACGGAAGCGTCCACTCAAACCACCAGCACACACATCCACGCATACACCTGAAGGAGACCCCCAAGGCTTACCAACACAGGATGCCCTGGCCAACAACCTGCTTCTTATGATGGCTATGAAGACCATAAAGAACTTTTCTTTTTTCCGAGGTTAGACCAGGCCAGGGTCCTTTAACCACAGGCAAGAAGCTGGCCAACCCTTCCATGCAATCGCTATGTTATAGCCCCATTTAGTTGAAATCTACTCTTGAGTAAGAGATGACACCCAAACTCACACAATTGAAAATAAAAATAGATACGTGTTATGATTACTCTGATGTACCAGTTACAACCTCAAACATTTTCACTTGTTTTAACATGTCTGAATTTATCTGCTTTATTTCTAAAGATAAAAACTTACTTTTTTTGTCTTTAGGGAAAAAAAGACTTGTAACCTTTAAATTAACAGGGTTCTAAGACCCCAGTTTTGGAAATCTTAAGGTGTGTTTAAGAAAAATACAAGTAGTCCATTAAAAATGTTTCACAGAGAATGAATAAAGAACAAAAGGCAATTAATAAGCTTATCAAGCAATTGTAATAATGGACACTTTTGGGTCCCAAATGACACAAACTTTAAAAAAAAATACACAAGTAGGAAAACTGGAACATTGGCTGGATTTTTAAAAACTTTTTCCTGTAATGTGAAAATTGACTGAGAAAACTGGGTTCTTTTCCATCAAGAGTTCACTCCCACTTTGATCTGTGACCTTGACATTGACTGTCCCGTCGCACTTCCTCACGCTGACCCCGTCCACTCATCCTTCTTTCACCTATCCTTGCCTTTGAGCTCTATCCCAGAGCAAATGCTGCCCTTTCAAACCTGAAGCCTGGTTCTTCTAAGCAGCGGACACCTCGTCCGCATCACAGGCCTACTGTCTGACTGGAAGGTAAGTCTGGCCGCAGCCTCGAAGAGTGTCTCGGGACCATGTCTTGGAGCTCCCACCCGTGTCCATCAAGCCACGCCAACAAGCCAAGCCTTTTTAGGGGCGTCTGTCCTACTGTGGTTAGAGAGATCAGCAAAGGCACCAGAGTCCCGTCCTCCTGGGCTCGGGGTCAGAGTCCGGAGTTCTGGGTCATTTGTCCTTTAGAGCAGCAGGTCAGAACCCTGACCTGACCAGCACCATCCTCACAACCTCAGGCCCTGCTGCAGTCACTGGGCCGCCCATCCCGTCGGCAGCCTTCCTCGCTTTCTCCGGCCCTCCACCTTTCCCAGCACGATGTCTTGTTCTAAGAACCTGCCCCTCTGACAACATGAACAAAATAGGAGATGAAGAGTCACCATCCTGGCCTCTGAGAAGCCTCCTGGCTGCACTCTCTCCAAGACAGACTTGTTTGTGTTTACGTCAGAGCATAGTCAATACTTTTTGCTAATGTTGTTAGGTGCCATCGAGTCGCTTGCGACTCATAGCGACACCATGTACAAGAGCTCTATACGTTCTTCTATCCTGTGCCAACCTAGCCATCTCAAACGCACTTATTCCCACCTCTCCAGTCACAGAATCGATCCATCTCATCAAAGGTCTTCCTCTCTTCACCGCCCCTCCACTCTGCCGAACATGATGTCCCTCTCCAAGGACCAGTCCCTCCTTGCAACATGCCCAAAATATGTCATTTTGTTTTGCCAATAGCTTCTCAAATTATTTGCTCAGCAAACTGATTAAACAAGAGCAGAGAAAGGCTAGAACTCTGATGCATCTCTTTGAAGCTACGCAGCGCTTCCTTGTTCTGACTGAATGACTACTTAGTGGTCTATGCGTAGGTTTTGCATAAATGCAATTATGCAAATTGTGTCCCAGGGTCCCCATTATTCTAAATGCCACGGATCATTTATTATGATCTACACAGACTCACGCCTTCCTGTCGGCAATAAAACACAAGTAAACCTCTTTCCGGGTTTTCTCCGCTTTTGATTAGCAGGTGGTGCAGAGGGTGCGCAAATAACAGGTTAAAAGTACTCTCACATAGGAGATAAAAGACGTAAGCGGTTAAATGACAAAAACGCACGAACAGTAAACCCGGAGGGGAGGCTGCCGGCCTCACAGCCAGCAGGGAGAAGTAAAACAAGGAGATCATCTTTTTGCCTTTAAGACTTGGAAAGATTCAAATAAATCCTCCCCACTTAAGAAAAAGATGTGAAGGGAAATGTGTATTTTCCCAAATACTTGTATGAACCCCAGAAGTGTATACAAAACTGGGCCAGTGTAAATTTGATGATGGGTCAAAATTAGAAGAGTTTGGTTACATTAATAAACGGTAATCGTAAAATGCCTATGAATGATTGTAAAAAAAAATCAGTATTTGTAAAGCCTTCACTGAAATAAAAAATAAAATACAGTCCAAAAGAATAAGAGAATATGACAAAGGAGGAAGAAGAAAGAGGCTTGGTGTGTCTGGTGCGTCCAGGAAACCAGTTCTTAACTCAAGAGATTACAATGGGTCATCTTCACGTGCAAACCCTCCTTTACAGTACTGCCTGGCGGGAGCTGCCTGGGGCTGTCCCCCGAGCGCTGGGCCACTTCCCTGGGCAGCGTGAGTCTGTGAAGGGAGATAAAGTCCCTCCTCAACAGCCTGTTCCTGACTTCCTGCCATCCACCTTCAATGCCCCACCTGTCCCCATTCTCAAGAAGAGAAGCTACAGATAGGTGCCTATGTCTTTTTGCTCAACTCCTGGAAAGTAAACAGGAAACTATTTTTATAAAGTTCCTAGAAAAGAATTTCTTTTTTTCACTAGGAGCATGATATATCCATCAACTGCTTGTTAATGAACTTCTGATGAAAGTGGGTTATAATAGCCCAAAGTGAACAAAAGGTGATGACAAGTTAGGAAATTGATTAGTAAAGAAATGATGTGGCTTGGACTAGGGTAGTAGACAGAGAGAGAGAGAGGAAAGGAGAGAGGGGAGAGGGGAGAGGAGAGAGGAGAGAGGGGAGAAGGGAGAGGGGAGAGGAGAGAGAATGCACGTGTGAGTGTGTGTGTGTGTGTGTGTGTGTGTGTGTGTGTACAGACGTGTAAGAAACTCAAACTCTTTGCCTCAAATTGGAACTCATCCCCCCAGCTGACCATGCAGTGGGTATCCAGAGGTTATGAACAACACAGGAAGAAACTATCTTTCTCCTGTGAAGCAGCTGGCAGATTTGAGCTGCCTGACTTTGGGCTGGTAGCATAACTCCTTACCTATCAGACCACCAGAGACCCCATATATATGTATACATGTATCTGTGCTTACATACACACATGCCTTTATGTGTGTGTATGTGTGTACACATATATGCTTCTCTGTATGTATGTGTCTATAGAAAGGTTTATAAAAAGGAAACGGCTCACACACTTGTAGAGACTGGCCAGTCCCAGGTCCATGGGTCAGATGTCAGGTGAGAGGCTTCTCCTGAGTCATGCAGCTGCAGGGGCTGATGAATCCAAGACTGGCCGGTGAGACAGCAGGCTGCTAGCTGCACAGGCTGACAAGTCCAAGGTCAGCAGGCAGTGTCACTGGCTGCTGGCTCAAGTGCAAACAACCAGAGGTGAGATGGTGACCAGTGAGATGCAGGACCCAGATGAAGCAAAAAGCAAGAGAGCTTTGCGGGAAGGTTCACATTATTTTCTACGCAGGTCACACCCCCAAGGAAATTCCCTTCATCTGACTGGCTGCTCAAAGCAGACCTCGTCATGGAAGGGACTTCAAAAGCATGACTACGTCCTAAGTGCCACCCAGAGAGTCACGGGCAAGTTGACATGAAGACTTCACTGTCGCAAAGGTGGACTGAGGATGCATTTTGGAGTTAGAATCAATACACCTAAACGCACACCTACAACCAGGGAGTCGACCTCAACTCCTGGTGACCGCTGGGTTTCTGAAGCTATGAATCTTGATAGAAGACACTGCCCATCTTTCTCCCACAGAGCAGCTGGTGGAGTTGAACAACTAACCCTTTGGTTGGCAATGCAACACCGTTCTGCACTGCCAGGGCTCCGTAGCATGCTGCAATCTAACATGGCTGGTTTCTGGGTGGAGCGACTAGACAAACAGAGGTTCCTTTATGGAGGAGGAGAAAAGCCGAGGAGGAGCTTACGAGGACAGGACGGAAGACAGCGAGCACAGACTTTCGAGAGCTTAAGCTGTTTGTGAAGAACCAAGGGGGCCCAGCTGGACTGAGAGCTCTGCAGCCCGGGACTGGACGGGGATCCGTGGGACTGGACGGGAATCTGTGGGACAGGATGGGGATCTATGGGACTGGACGGGGATCTGTGGTGTCGTCAGCATTGAGATCGCACTGAAAGTGAGAACAAAGTCACCCGGAGAGAGTGCACGGTGAAAGGGGCTCCAGGACAGAGCCTGGAAGAGCCCAGCACACGTGCTCAGCACGCAGGCTCGCCACTGAGGCTGGGAGGAAAAGCCAGGAAGCGCAGAGTCAGAGAGAGCAAGAGGAAAGAGCTTTTCAAGAAATGATGTTGCAGGCAGCTCTGGAAACCTGCTCAGAGTTCTCGTAAGATGGAAACAGAGACGTGTCCACTAGAGTCAGCAAGGTGGAGGCCAACCACAAGGTCAGAGCAGATCGAGGGGAGAGGCAAGGACCCTGAAGTAGTAGGACAGGATGGACAGACAGATGCGTCAGTTTGGACTGGCACATAAGTAACACAGACACTAAGAGACTGGAGAGGGCACAAAGAGTGCAGCGTCGCCAGATGGGTAAGATACAGACAGAGGCGTGTGAAGTGAGCAGAGCCCTGGGATTGCAGGGACGAGGCCAGCGCGGCCACACTCACCCTCCATGCTCCCCAGCGTGTGGCACACAGGCCCCCAGCCGGAAGCTCCAGGCACAGGCAGGGTCTTGGGCCAGGATGCACTCTGCGCAGCTCTGCAGACGGCCACAGTTCGCGGTGTTCACCTGGGTCACCTCGGTGCGGGAGCCCACCAGGACCCAGGCCTGGAGAGGGGAGCAGGCATGGAGACACGCTGCATCTTTCAACGTGACTCGGGGTCCCTGGCTTGCGCTGGATTCAGATCCCTCCCCACCAGACCCCCCAGAATCTACAACTCACTTGGTAAAACTTCATGGTCTCAATGGGCTGGGGCTCTGAGAACAGGGCCAGGTCCTCCAGGACGCTGAGCTGACGTCCGATCTGCACTGCCCGGTGCAGGTGCCCGTTCTCTAGGAGAGAGACAAGGACAGGGCACAGTGACACCCCTGTGCTGCCCGGGCCGAGGACACCCAGCACGACGAGGCCTCTCCTGGGAGACACCTGCTGAGCCTGTGACTATACCTGTCCCCAGGTAGAGCACATTATAGTCCCTCCCCGACAGGCTGGTCACTGTGTGTGCCACCACTCTGACATAGACTGTCTCTGTGGTGACCAGCAGCGGGTGGCTGTCAGCTGGAAGGACTGGCGTGTCCATCAGTGGATGGTCCCGGATGAAGGTGAGCACACGGTCAGGCAGCGACAGGGATGAAGCGAACTGCCGGTGCTTCATGTTGTTGGTGATGCACTGGAGGAAATGGGTGAACCCCAAAGTCAGGAATGGCTGGGAGGCTCGGGTCCTTACAAGAACCCCGTCAAAGGCCTATCAAGAATCAGGGCGGGCCCTCGCCTCTCCAGGCCAACGCTGGGGGCCGGGACACGTCACTGTCCAGGACAGTCTGTCACGGGCCAGGCCCTCACCTCTCCAGACCGGGGCTGGGGACCAGGGCACGTCTGTCCAGGATGGGCAGTCCCCGGGTCAGACCTTCACTCCTCCAGGCCGGAGCTCCGGACCAGGGAACGTCACTGTCCAGGACAGTCTGTCACGGGCCAGGCCCTCACCTCTCCAGGCCGACACTGGTGGCCAGGACACGTCACTGTCCAGGACGGGCAGTCCCCGGGCCAGGCCCTCACCTCTCCAGGCCGGGGCTGGGGCACATCATTGTCCAGGACAGGCAGTCCCCGGCTGCAGTCATGCTTCGTCTCTCTGAAGGGACCGCTGAGCGCTGTGCGAATGTCCTGGGGTTGGAAAGCACAGACAGCGGAGATGGCAGCTCCTTCCCTGCAGAGTCAGAGGCCGGACCAGATGTGGAGAGAGCAGATACGCGGAGAACCACTCACTCGTCAATCGAGATGACACCCGAGGAAGGTGCAGAGCCAGGCTGTCGGGGAGGGAGGCCCGGCCCTGGCAGCGTGTCCCCCACACCGCTCCCACCCGTCATCTCCTTCGCACCAGGACCCCTCACCACTGGGAGGAAAAGATGCCGTAAAACACGGGGGTCCTGGCTCCACGTTCAGGTCGCAGGATGGCCATGTCCTGCAGGACACTGGAGGCCCGGCCATGCTCGGGCCCTGGACACACCAGGTCAGCCTTCAGAAATGTCGTCCACCTCTGCTGGAGGGTCTTCCGGCCCCCGAGGTCCCCCTGGAGTGACATGAGCGTGAGAAGCTCTCTTTAGAAGACCAACACCGTGGGAGGCGTATAGAGGACAACCCATGCTTCCTCCGTGACTGCAGGGCAGACACAGACAGACAAACAACGAATCAGACACAAAAATGCAAGAGTAGAGATACAGACAGAGAAGCTGGGAGGTGGGGCGATACAGGGATCTGACCTCGGAGTGCACAGGTCACAGACAAAAGGCCCTGACTGGTCACCTGTGTGTCCCCCGGCTACCTCACTTAGGCCTCACAACACGCTTTAGAGACGGACACAATTAGCATCTTCGTCTACAGGAGAGGTTCAGTGATGTCGGCGACCTTCCTAGGGTCACACAGGAAGGGCACGGCAGAGCAGGGCCTCAAAGCCGGGCCTTCAGTCCCCAGGTCCTGCCTGTAACCCTTACACTAGGCTTTCTCCTGGTCACAGTGTGTCATGAGGCTGAAGATGGAGCCCTTCCCCAAGCTCCCTGAGGAGAAGCCAGAGCCGAGGACAAACAGAAGGCAGAGGGGAAGGAGACAGAGGAGAGAAGCAGACACAGAATGAGAGAGGAACAGGGGCAGAGGAGAGGTGCTGACACAGAGAACGCAAGGGGACCAGGGACAGAGGAGACAGACACAGAACAGAGGGGACCAGGGACAGAGGAGACAGACACAGAACAAACAGAGGGGGCCAGGGCAGAGGAGAGGTGCTGACACGGAGAACGAGAGGGGGCCTGGGACAGAGGAGACAGACACAGAACGAGAGAGGACCTGCGACAGAGGAGAGGTGCTGACACAGAGAACGAGAGGGGACCGGCAGCCATGGGGAGGTGCAGACACAGAGGCAAGAGGGGCCAGCACAGGCCGAGCCAGGCCCCCAGACGGGACGCAGGTCTCACCGCACACACGCGGGCCACCCGTGGAACCCGAATGCGCTCGTATGAGTCGAACGCCCGCGCAGACTCCGTGAAGAAGAAGAAGACTTCGTCGTCTCCATCCTCATCCCCCCACTCGGCGGGGCTCAAGGCCACGGCTGAGACGAAGGCTGGGGCTGGGGAGGCCAGAGCACTTAAGCCCATGACACCCCTCCTGCTGCCCCACCAAGCTGCCCCAGTCCCCAGCCCCTGGTCCCATCCGCACCACTAAGCCAGGACGGCAAGGTCTCTGTCCGGATCCAGTCTTCGGCGGGGCCCACGGCCCGGGAGATAATGGGCTCAGTGCCCAGGTAGTTCTTCACGGTGGCCGTGTAGAGGACGCCTCCTGTGGTGCAAGGGGGGACAGGGGTGTGAGGACCACAGAGGACAGGAGGGTGAGGCCCACAGGGGACAGGGGTGTGAGGTCCACAGGGGACAGGCGTGTGAGGTCTACAGGGGACAGGAGTGTGAAGTCCACAGGGGACAGGGGTGTGAGACCCACAGGAGACAGGGGTGTGAGGCCCCAGGAGAGAGCGGGAACCAAGCGGAGGCAGAAGCCACTGGGACCGAGCTCCCCACGGGCCTGGAAGGAGAGGGCTCGAGGGCAGAGTGGAAACCCGAGTGGAGGAGAAACTGCCTGATTGTTGCAGCTCCAAAGGGGCGATGGAGGCCTCCCCTAGAGGAACTGGTTATTGTTCCATAATCACACAAGCCGACAACTTTTTATTTTTAGTTAAGGCACTTGTTGGAACTAATAGAATTAGCAACATTGCAAATTACAAGACAAACACAAAAATCAGTTGGGTTCCTCTACACTATCAAAGACCACTCTAAAAAGGAAATCAGGAAAATAATACCATTTATAATAGCTCCCAGAACAATGGTTTTAAAGCCCAAAACTTGGGAATTAACCTAGGACATAAAAGACGCATACAATGAGAATTACAAAACACTACCTACCAGAGATGTATGAAAATGAGAAGAATTCTTTTGGACTGCAAAAGAAGGGGTCACTCTGTCTGGGGGGGTGCAATCAGGGCGCTCCTTAGCCAAGGGGAGCGAAGCTTCACACGCTGTGCACGTTGTCAGGACATCAGGCAGGGGAAGGTGGAGGGTCAGAGGAAGAGAACACGACCCTCAAACAATGGATGGACGCAGTGACCATGACAATGGCCTTGAGCACATGAGTGAGGACCACTATATACACAGAAACCAACTCAAAATGGGTCCAAAACCTTCATGCTAAGCTGAAGGCCATAAAATTCCTGGAAGAAAACTACAGGACCTAACAACCTTCTGAAAAAACAGGATAACAAATCTAACAGCAACTTCAGAAATAGGAGACGGAGTAGACAAGTGAAACTTCACAGAAATTACAAATTTGCACTCATCCAAAGCAAACCAATATAAAATAAAAAATAGTATTTACAAAACAATGTTACCACAAGAGTAAATTAGGGAGTCTAAAAACTAGGGAAAATGTTCAAGAACAACTTGTCCAATGTTGTTAATATGCCGTCTAGTCTGAACCAACCTAGAGCTGACCCCCCCAGCATATGTTTAGAGGCTGTAAATCAAACAAGAGGAGATTTCCCATCATTCTCCTGCAGGGCAGGTGGTGGATCCGAACTGCCAGCCTCTGGGTTGGTAGGGCAAAGCCCTACCATGAGGCCAGGAGAGTTCTGTTACTCAATGTCGCTGTTGTTGTGTGAAGAAGAATGCGGCATCAGGATCAAAGCAAGAGTCATCAATAACCTGTGTTAAACAGATAACGCAGCCTTGCTTGCTGAAAGTGAGGAGGGCTTGAGCCAAATGCTGCAGAAGATTAAGGACTGCAGCCTTCGGTGTGGATTGCACCTCAGTGTCAAGAAAACAGAGGTCCTTCACCACAGGACTAACAATCAACGTTATGATAGCCGGAGGAAGGACTGAAGCTGTTACCGATGTCACTGTGCTTGGATCAACACCCTTGGTACCAGCAGTCAGGAAATCAGGAGACGCATTGCACTGGGCAAGTCTGTGGTCAGGGACTTCTCCAAAATGCTGAAGAGCAATGATTTCAGGTTGAAGACTAAAGTGCAGGTTGTGGTGCCAGAGAATACTGACTATCCCACAGACTTCCAAGAGGACAAACAGATAAGTCTTGAAGGGAGTGCAGCCGGAGTGCTCTTTGGAGGTAAAGATGACCAAAGCTGTGTCCATACTCTGGACATGTAGCCGGGCGAGGCTACTCTCTGAAGAGGGTCAGCTCTGACTAAGAGCTGTTGACTGTGAGTCTTCTGAGCTTTATGTTAAAGCATAACCATAGCAATGGTTTTTCTCTTGTAATCCGTAAGAAGTCTCTGAGCTTCTTGGCAAGTGCTTTAAACCTTTCTCAGTTTCAGCAAGCACAGCTGTGTCTTCCACATAATGCACACTGTTGTGGAGCCTTCTCCAATTATTTCTTCAGCAAACAGATTGAACAGGTTTGGTGAAGGGACACAGCCTGGCTGCACACCTTTCTGGATTTTTAATCACACAGCAGTTCCTTCGCTCTGTTTGAACAACTGCTTCTTGGACTGTGTACAGGTTCCATATGAACACTACTAAGTGTCCTGGGATTCTCATTCTTCTCAACGTTATCCATAATTTATTATGATCTACTCAGTCAAACACATTTTCATAGTCAGTAAAACGTAAGTAAACATCTTCCTGATATTCTCTGCTTTCAATCGAGATCAGTCTGGAATTAGCGATGATATCCCTTGTTCCATAGCCTCTTTTAAGTCCAGCTTGAAATTCTGACAGCTCCCTGTTGCTGTACTTTTCCAGTTGCATTTTGGTCTTTTTTTACTTTTTCTTAATATTTTATTATATTTTGTGTGTGTGCCATCAAATCAGATCTGACTGGTACAGGAGGAGATTGCCCCTCCTTCTCCAGCAGAGCATCTGGTGGATTTGAACCTTGTGCCTCTGGGATTGCAGTGCAGCTTCTTGCCACAAGGCCACCAGAGCTCCCTTTCCAGTTGCCTTTTTAAATGATCTTCAGCGAGATCCTCAATAATTTCCACACTCAGTTGGATCATCTTTTCCTGGAATGGACACAAATGTGGATCTTTTCCAGTCACTTCTCGGGGATAACTAGCATTTCTAAAAACAAGACAAAAAGCATTCCAGGCAGAGCCAAAGAAGAGCTGGGGCTCCGAAGGGCGCAGTACAGAGCTAGAAACCCCCGCTGAGACAGGGATGGGCAAAGGAGGTCTTTCTGTCACCTGAGACTTTGAAAAGGATCTAAGTATGAAATTCCAGGCTGTGAAAAGAATCCAAGAGCCAGGCAGGCTGGGATTTGAACCCCATTTATCAGGGATATGATCTCAGGCAAATTAAAAACCCTACGTACACCTCAAGTTCTCTCAACGTAGACCTGGGATAGTAGCACTTTCCCTCAGCGCCGTGCTGTGGATTAAAGCAGGTAATGAGTATTGGACCTCAGCTAACAGCTGGCACATGTGGTAGCTGCAGCCTCTGAGGAAACCTCAATGCTGCTCATTCTGCGGCCAGAAGGAGAGGGAATCTACTAAAACACTGGCTGCTCATCCATTCTCCTTCTAAGTCTTTCAAGAAGGAGGACACTGAGACAACTTATCATCAGTCCTGGCAGCAAATAAAACTACAAAGGGCCATCCGTCTGTATTTTTAACTTCCGAGAATAAAAGAAAAGAAAGAAAAAGCTGATACATAAGCCAAGGTTGTGTTAATTATATGAAAAACCATATTTTGTATAATTAACTTCGGTAATGAAAAAATGTGGAAGGAGGAGTGGCATCCACTTCCGTAATAGCTTGCCTCCGGAAACCCTATGAACCTGGAGAGAGGATGAAAGGCACCCAAGCATCAAGGACTCTCCTTCACAGGGTCGCTATGAGTCGCCTGCGACTCGGCGGCACTTAACAACAACAACAACAATGATAAAATGCTCACTGCACTTGAAGAAAGGGAGCGCAGCTGGAGGCAGCCTTGTAGGTGGGAGAGGCGCTGCCAACCCAAAAGGCCCGCGGCTTAAATCCACCAACTGCTCTGTGTTACACCTGAAACAAAAGAAGCATCTGGAGTGATCACCTTAGAAAGTTGTCATTGCGAAGCTGGTTTTTGCTGAGTGACAATTTTGTACAATTAAGACATTCACAGCCACTAAAACTGAAGGACTATTTCCTAATGATCTCAAGGACTGGCTGAGTCTTTGCCAAAGACACTTGATAAAAAGCCAAGAAAAATGAAGCCACTGACTAAATAATTTTATTCAGATCTGAATGAGTATAAACAAGGTCTCACCAATTTCAACAGATGAGTGATAAAAATGACAACATTTGCTCTAGGCTCATCTTAAAAAACTTTTATGTTATTATTCTTCGGGGTGGGGGGGAGTGGCTCATTAACTGTCTAATTAAAGAACAGTTTTACAGGAAGTCCCCAAAATGGCAACAATTAAACCCTATAAATAAAGTAATAGCTGAGGGGGAAATGAAATGTTAGATCTTTCATTCCAAGTTTTGTTCATCCTTAAATGCTATCAGAGAGTAAAAAAGTAACGAAATCCCTTTATATCAAAGGAAGAAACTGAAGTAAGTCAGTAAAGAAAGATAACGCCACATCACTGAAGAGCAGGTTGGAAAATGTTAACTTTGCTCCCATTCGATGCAAAACGCCAAGCTAACTCCAAGCTAACTCCCAAACCGATCTAAGTGCCAAACATCCAGAGTGGGGAACAGAAGACCGGTTACTGTTTTGTAAGGGAGAAAAGGTTTAAAAAGCAACGATTCCGAGGAACAGCTATGAGTCTAGAACACTGATACTCGAAACCTAACAACCTCTTCAAGCTCGTGAGCGGAGAAGTTACAAAAAAAAAAAAAAAGGAAGCGGTAAAACATGAAGAAAAGCTCAAGTTCACTAACATTCCCTCTGTCTCTCATGGCCATTGTGTCTGAACCTGCTCAGAACGGACCCTACAGGGGTTTTGAAAGGCTATAACCCACACCGAGAAGAGACGGTCTTTGGAGAAGGACAT